AGATTTTGGGATTCCATTCATTCATTGTTGCACCCTTCAGAGGCGCGAACTGGGGATGGGGGGGAGGGCTGGGCGGGGAGAGAAGTGCAGCAATGAATGAATGGAAATCCAAATTCTCTGTAAATGTTCATTAAAATTATTAAAAAAAATTTTTAAAAAGACCAAAAAAAGTTGCTTAAATAAAATGAACAGAGAGTCTGTAGGTTGGGGGAAAAATCTTTGGCAATGGCATTTCAGTCTGCTTTGGAGAAAGTGAAACCAGAGAGCTACTTGGAAGCCATCATGTATTTTGGGCGTGTTAGCAGGGGCCAGTACTTGGAGAAGGACATCATGCTTGAAAAGGTGCAAGGTCAGCATAAGAGAGGAAACCGCTCAACAAGATGGACTGACATGGTGACTGCAGCAATGGGCTTAGCGTATTGGAGGTAGTGAGGATGGCACAGGATAGGGCAGGGTCCACACCTGTTGTGCGTTACCAAGAATGATGTCCCTCTCCAAGGACTGGTCCCTCCTTACAACATGTCCAGAGTATGTTAGACAGAGCCTCAGACTCCTTGCCTCCAAGGAGCCATCTGGTTTCACCCTTTCCAGGATGAATCTGTTTGTTTTTCTAGCAGTTCACGATACCCTCAATACTCTTCTCCAGCACCACAGCTCAAAGGCAACAATTTTCCTTCTATCCTCCTTAGTCACTATGCAACTCTCTGATGCATAACAAGCAATAGTTGCTATGAGTCTCAGTCACAATAACAGGGCCTCAAGAAAGACAGACTGAGAACTCAGTTACAAAACGATCAAAAGACACGAACAGACTCTTCACCAAGGAGGGTATGAGGAAAGATATAAACACATGAGAAAATGTTCAAAACACTATGAATCAGAGTGAGACAAATCTAAACAATAATGAGACAGCATGTCAACCCAGTAGCAACAGGAGAGTTTATCAGGACACCAACCAATAAACATTGGAGAAGAGGAGGTAGGAACCTCTCATATACTACTGGCAGGGTTGTAAAATGCTGTAACCATTCAAAAAAGATGAATACAGTAATCTTGTAACTCAATTATTTCACTTATAGGAAAATACTAGAAGAATGCCTATTTGTGCTTTATTGACTATGCAAAGGCATTTAACTGTGTGGATCATAACAAGTTATGGCTAAAATTAAGAATTAGGAATTTCAGAAGACTTACTTGTGCTCATGTGAAGTCTTTAACTAGAACTATGAGTGGTTTAAAATTAGGAAAGGTATCTTTTTGCCTATCTATTTCATCTCTATACTGACTGGATTATGCTGGACTCTATGAAGAAGAATGTGGCATCAGGATTGGAGGAAAATTCATAAAAAACCTTAATTATGCAGATGACACAACCTTGCTTGCGAAAAGTGAGGGCTGGAAGCACACGCTGCAGAAGATCAAAGGCTGCATGTAGTCTTCAATATGGATTGCATTTCAATGTCAAGAAAACAAAGATTCTTGTCACTGGACTGATAGGTAATATCATGATAGATGGAGGAAAGATTGAGGCTGTCAACAAAATCATCTTACTTGAATCCACAATCAACGCATTTGGTACCAGCATTCAGGAGACTAATCACACTGGAAAAGTCTGTAATCAGGTACCTCTCCAAATTATTGAGAAGCAACAACAGCAGTTTGAGGACTAAGGTGCATCTGATTCATGCCATGGTTTTCCGGTCACTTTCTATACATCTGAGAGCTGGACAATGACTAAGGATGCAGAAGAGTTGACGTCTTTGAACTATGGTGTTGGAGAAACATGCTGAGTATCCCATGAACTGTCAAGAGAAAAAGTACATATGCCTTGGAAAAAGCGCATCCAGAGTGCTCCTTGGAGGCAAAGATGAAGTTTCATGTCACATCCTTGGAGCATGTTGCTTAAAAGAGAGTATTCCTTGGAGAGGGACATCATGCTTAGGAAGGTAGAGGGATAGTGAAGGAGAGGAAAACCTTCAGCCAGGTAGGCTGACATAGTCATTGCAGCAATGAGCTCTTGTGTGTGAGAAAGTGTGAGGATGGCACAGGATAGGGCAGGGTTCAGATCTGTTATCCACAAGGTTGCTACGGGTCATATTCAACAACATCTAACAACAATTAACATAGCCTTCTCTGTTTTAAAATTAGGCTTTATTTGTGAATCAAATTTATAAGATTATAGGTTATTATAACCTTCTTAAAAATTCATAAGTATTTTCATTTACATATATAATTTGTATATACACAAATCTGTTTATGTAACTGGAGTGATATTTAGTTACAATTAGGATATAATTATTATATTTTAAATAGAATGATTAATTTATAATTATGTTGTTGTTGTTGTTATGTGCCCTCGAGTCACTTGCGACTCACAGCGACCCTATGTACAACAGCCCTAAACTCTGCTCTGTCCTGTGCCAATCGCACTGTCTCAAATACACCCATCCCGATTACCCTAGTCACTGAATCAATCCACCTCATACAGGGCCTTCCCCTCCTGCACTATCCCTCCACACTACCAAGCATGACGTCTCTTTCCAAGGACTGGTCCCTCCTTACAACATGTCCAGAGTATGTTACACAGAGCCTCAGAATCCTTCCCTCCAAGGAGCCATCTGGTTTCACCCTTTCCAGGATGAATCTGTTTGTTTTTCTAGCAGTCCACGATACCCTCAATACTCTTCTTCAGCACCACAGCTCAAAGGCATCAACTTTCCTTCTATCCTCCTTAGTCACTGTCCAACAAGCAATAGCAAAGGCCATGGCCTGTATCAGATGCACCTTAGTCTCCAGAGAGACACCATTGCTCTTCAGTACTTTGGAGAGGTCCCCAACAGCAGACTTTTCCATCGCAATATGTCTTTTAATTTCCTGGCTACTGGTGCCGAGAGTGTTGACTGTGGAGCCAAGCAAACTAAAGCTGTGAACAATCTCAATCTCTTCATCATCCATCCTGATGCTGCCAATTGGTCCAGTGGTAAGAATCTTTGTCTTCTTGACATTGAGCCTCAATCTATATTGGAGGCTGCAGTCCTTGACACTCCACAGCAAGTGCTTCAGGTCCTCCTCAGTTTCAGCAATCAGGGTTGTGTCATCTGCTTAACGCAGATTGTTGATGAATCTTCCACCAATCCTGACACCACACATCTCATAGAGCCCAGCCTCCCAGATAATCTGTTCTGCATACAGGTTGAAAAGGTATGGAAACAGGACACATCCCTGGCATACACCCTTCCCATTCTGAACCATGCAGTGTTTCCTTCCTCATTCTGACGACTGCCTCTTGGTCCACGTATATATTTCTCATTAGCACGATCAAGTATTCTGGGATTCCCATTCTTCTCAGTCAGCCACAGCTTGTTATGATACACACAGTCGAACGTCTTTGCATAATCAATGAAACACAGATAGACATTCTTCTGGTATTCCCTGCTTTCAGCTAAGATCCATCTAACATTAGCTATAATATCCCTAGTACCACTACCCCTTCTAAATCTAGCCTGGACTTCTGGCAGTTCTCTGCTGATGTGCTGTTCCAGTCGTTTTTGGATAATATGCAGTAGAATCTTGCTTGCATGTGCTGCAAGGGCTGGACAATGGGAGATAGATGTTGAAGGGAGTGGGTAGAAGTGTAGGGGTATCCTGGTGGATGGGGACCAGGGAAATAAGTGGGTAAAGGCACATGTGCCAAAGGCAGGTACAACACTGATACTAATGGTTAACTCCACAATAAGGGATATGCCTTTCACTTTTCTGTAAAAGCTGGTCTGTCTGATACTTCTCTAAATCTGAACATTCAGATTACGACAGACTAGGAAGAAGGATTGGCCATCCACTTCTGAAACAGCAGGCCTCTGAAAAGCCTATGTACAACAGAACACATAATTATTATAAATTATATAATATTATATTATACTATATACTATTAGGGAGCTCTGGGGGCCTAGTGGCAAGAAGCTGCACTGCAATCCCAAAGGCATGCAGTTCAAATCCACCAGCTGCTCCTTGGGAGAAGGATGGGCAATCTCCTCCTGTGTGATTAACAGCCTCTGAAAACCTGCCAGAGAGTCAGCTATCAGTTGGTTCCAACTGTACAAAAGTATACCACCGTACTGGGAGCAGTGGAAGTGGTGCAGGGGGATTGTATACCAAAGAAGGAATTTTTCTTTTGCTTTTCAAAGAGATGAACGAACTGGGATGGGGGGGAAGGACTGGGCAGGGAGAGAAGTGCAGAATGAATGAATGGAAATCCAAAATCTCTGTATACGTTCATTAAAATTAATAAAATAAAATTCAAAAAAGTATACCATCACCACCACAATATATAAAATAACAAAGATAAATATTATTTTTAATATATTATTATAATACATTATTCAGTACTATTTCCTACTTTTTTCTTAAATCTTTAACTAAGCTCCATATATAGTGATACTTATAATTTTAATGGCTTAAATATTTTATCATGAGATCATGAAATGATATAATTTATACATTTTCTTATTTCTAGTTTTTTGAAAATTACTTATACCACAATCACAAACATTATTCTCACAGGTTTAATGGATGTTATTAATTTTCTCCTTACTAATCTCTTACTGACCAACTGTATAACCACAAATACTTTCTATAAATGTCTTTTTTTTTCAAAATATGTAACTAATTCATATTTCACTAATGCCTTTTGGTTAATAAACTCTGTAAATGTGGGGTAAGCTTAGTAACTATGTATGTGGATTTTGCCTTGCTCTGACACTTGTGCCAAGAAAACCAATTTTAATTTTGTTCATTGATCTTATTTAAAATAAGATAAACTTAATCCCTTTGGATTCTAGTGTCTTTATTACAAAAGGAAGAACCTGAAGCAAATGATCTCTAAAGTCCTTTCAAGATTGAATAACTGATGTCATTAATTAATTACATAAAGGTGTTAGTTGAGACACCCATTTTTTATCTGGGAAACACAACTCAATTAAGAAACAATAAAATATACTTACTGATGACTGGTCTGATAATGAAGATTTTTCTAACTCTGGAAGGCTTGAAATGATTGTAGTTCTGTTGCCTCTTTCTGTAGCTACAAGTTCTATTGATAAACCATCTCCTATGATATGCCAACTTTTTATAGACAACTTTAAAAAAAGATAGAAGAAGTGAATATTGCAACACTTGCATAATCTTCTGTAATGCGATTTAAAGAAAAACTGATTTCACTTTTACCTCAATTGGATTGCTGTTGATTATGGCAAATAAAATACTACTTGCTTCTGTAGCACTCAGTATGCCAAAATCTATGAAACGCTCTTCTATTTTTGGGGGTAATACAAAATACTGGGAAGACAGAAAAGAAGAGGACTAAATGTAAAATAATGTAAATTTAAAAAATACAGAAAAACATCCTGCTTATGTGTAAACATTTTAAAACTGTCAGAAAGTAAACACATTAAGAAAACAAGGCAAGTAACCACATACACTGTATTTACTCACTCACACTCTCTCTCTCACACACACACACAAACACGCACGCAGAGGCCTCTATACTGTATGTTGTTGTTGTGTTGTTATGTGCCGTCGAGTCGCCTGCGACCCATAGTGACCCTATGTACAACAGCCCTAAACTTCGCTCTGGCATGCATATATACAGTTAAGAACTCTGTCACACGAAATTTGATTAGCTCGAAATGAAAGCTCTGTCTAGGCTGGACTTTGAGGACTGGGCTTATCCTCCAGTAACTATCATGAATTCATGTAGTTACTAGCATATAAACACATCTGCAAAATAAATGAAAAGGGTGCAGGCTGATAACGAAGGTTCTTCAGCGCAAAGTGTGACCTGGGCTGCACTCTTACCATGGGTTCTACCTCCCCTCTTCCTCCTCATCTCTTTCCTGGCAGCTTTACATCTTATCTAAGTGTTTTTCATTACATAATAACAGCTCTATTTGGATTTTCTTTCTGGCTCATTTCCTATGCTAGAATCCCTTTTGTAATTTTTTCCCATGTGATACCTTTATGACTCTTTCTACTATGCATCTTTACTACCCTAGTTCTCTCACTAGTTAGACCTGCTCTTTACCTTCCCTTTGCTCCTGTTTCTCTTCCCTACAGTTTCTTTTCCACTTGCCCATTATTTTTCTTTCATTTAGTTCTTTTTCAGCTTTGCCATCATTAGAACAGTTGAAAAGCAATATCTAGAAAAAAAAGCAGAATGTGGAAAAGATCCATGTGGAAGGAAACAAATCAGAGGATTCAACTGTAATTATGATGAGAGGCCACTGGGCTGGGTAGAAAACAGTTATCATGAATGCTCACTAGATCAATTTCCAGAGCACAGAAAAGGTAAAACTGTGCCACACAACTATCTAATCCTATCTGAGTAAACAAAAGATGGGTAGAGAACTTAAATTTCAAAGGTAGGAAACATACTTACATCTAAAAAACCTGTGTACACCCGCACAGGTAAATGGAATTTAGACGCATTGGTAATAAGTAAAATATTGTTATCTATGTGTATGGATGATGTGGATGGCATAAAAAATAGGGTAAAAATATATCCTGATTCATTTGGAAGAATTATAACTGGTTTGCTGAAGTTGTGAACCTAGGAGACGATATAAGAGGAAAAAACCCCCAAGTTAGTGCAATTTAGTTTGTAGATAAATATAATATAAAATATAAACATAATGAGTGTTTCAAGACATACTTTAAACATTGTTTTGGCTTCTTTTGGTAGCAAAACATCATGAATGAAGATTGCAAAACTGAAAGTGTTAGTAAGATAAATTGGCCTTTCCACAGGATCAGCAGGACTGTCTCGGATGTGAAACAATGTTGCTGTGTGATCAAATCCCAAATATCTATTTGAAAAAAACAAATACAACATAGTTCAGTTTTATTTCCATATGTTAGCTAAAAATCCAAAGTCTTCTGTTACATTTAGTATTACTGGACTATAATACTGAGTTAGGATAATATTTTAGTCACTGACCACAAAATTAAAACAAAATTTAGCTTGTAAATACTGAAATGTAACAGCTCTAATTTCTACTGAATTATATGGAAGCAAATGATAAAAATTTGTAGTAACAGAAAAATACTCTTAGGGTCTCTTTAAAAAATTGTTTATCATTCAATTGCAAGCAGCTTTATTAAAATGAGCCCCTATCAAGTTGGATACTAAACTCTTATTGGTTAAACTATGATTAGAAAATGAACTACATGTTATTGTTTGCTTAACAAAAAAGTTAAAATTCTAGAATAGCTTTTATGAGTTTATAAAAGAATTAATTTTGTTCCAAGAGATATATAATAGCAACTACTTACATGTCAATAAAGGAATGGCAGAAAAGAAATATTTCATGTGGTTCACATATTACTTTCAAAATCAAATTCATTTTTATGCTGTATTACTGATTATGACTTTATTTAAGCCACAATTACACAACATTTACTCTTTTCTTCTAAGAACTGTATTTTTAAAAACAATAGTTCCCTGTAGCTTATATGAACTTGATTACTGTTTTGTTATTTCTGATTACAAAATTTACAAATGAGTAAAGTTATAAATCTTATTTTAAAGGGAAACTCACCCATCTAAAACTTCTGCCTGATAAGGTATTTCAAGTTTAGAATAACTTTTTTCCTTTGCTTTAACAGTTATTTTCCCGGAAAACTGAGAAGCCTTTTTTGCCTTTGATGCTGAAATGAAGCATAAAAACCTGCTCTTTTACAACCAAAGACTTTATGAGTTAGTGACTTTATATGAACTGACAAAATCATAAAAAAGTAAGCTACAAATGGAGAAAAGAACACTTTCACAGCATTTTAAATATTTTATTATATTTTTGTCATAATAAAAAAGAGAATATATTAATTTTCCTGAATAGAGGATAAACAAATTAGCAAATGAACATGCTTGAAGACAGAAAACCCAAAAAACTGTATCTACCCCATTTCCTAATAAGTCCTATATTTTGGCTTTGATAGCAGCTTATTTCTCAACCTCTACACTACTGACATTTATCTTGTTACAGGAGAGTCCTGCACACTGCAAGAGGTCGACCAGTATCCCTGGCCTCTAGTCTTCAGATGCCAGAGCACTCCTTGGGCTGTGACAACAAAAAGTATTTCCCCTGGGAGGCAAAATTGTTCTCCCTTGAGAATTATTGGTTTACAGCTATATTAAGAAAGACATAACACAGGCTCATGATATTAACAAAGTATCAGGAATTCTAAGCTCTGAGAAGTAGCATTGGGGCTGGTAGTGCAGCTTGTTGTGAAAATGCCACCAGAGCTTCCTCTCACACTGTCCTCACAGAGGAGGTAAAATCTGCAGAGTTTGTAGATGAAGCAAAACCTGTAGATGTAGCAGACATCCTGAGTAATTTCACCTGAAATCAGAAACTGATTAAGTTGGACCTGGACACCTTCTGAGCAATTCAAGATGGAAAATACTTATATAACACTTCTATTTACGAGAAGATACATATGCTACTTTTTCAAATGTATTCTTGAACATAAACATGGAAGCAAAACAGAGAAATGTTAGGATGTTCTCTTGCTAGCTAGCCTACGGGTGCATTTAATCTTTCACCACTCTCCTCATATATATTTGCTCAGAAGAATCATAATACTTAGGCATTCCATGAAGTTGCATTTTAGCAAACAAAGCAGACCAAATAAATTGAAAAGGTCATAAAGACAGTGACTTTTGATGGGAAAGCTGCTTGGTTGATAAGCGAACATAGGGAATGCCAGAGGAATGTCTATCTGTGTTTCATTGACTATGCAAAGGCATTTGACTGTGTAGATCATAACAAACTATGGCTGACTCTGAGAAGAATGAGAATCCCAGAACACTTGATCGTTATAATGCGAAACTTATACTTGGACCAGGAGGCAGTCGTCACAACAGAGCAAGGGAACACTGCATGGTTCAAAACTGGGAAGGGCGTAAGCCAGGGATGCATCTTATCTCCATACCTTTTCAACCTATATGCAGAACAGATTATCTGGGAGGAGAAATGTGGGGTCAAGATTGGGGGACGATTTATCAACAATCTGCGCTATGCGGATGACACAACCCTGCTTGCTGAAACTGAAGAGGACCTGAAGTGCCTGCTGCAGAGTGTCAAGGACTGCAGCCTACAATATGGATTGAGGCTCAATGTCAAGAAGACAAAGATTCTCACCACTGGACCAATTGGTAGCATCAGGATGGATGGTGAAGAGATTGAGATTGTACACAGCTTTAGTTTGCTTGGCTCCACAGTCAACAGTCTTGGCACCAGCAGCCAGGAAATTAAAAGGAGCATTGCCATGGGAAAGTCTGCTGTTAGGGACCTCTCCAAAGTGCTGAAGAGCAATGGTGTCTCTTTGGAGACTAAGGTGCATCTGATACAGGCCATGGTCTTCGCAATCACCTGTTATGCATCAGAGAGTTGGACAATGACCAAGGAGGATAGAAAGAGAATTGATGCCTTTGAGCTGTGGTACTGGAGAAGAGTATTGAGAATACCATGGACTGCTAGGAAAACAAACAGATTTGTCCTAGAAAGGGTTAAACCAGGTGGCTCCTTGGAGGCAAGGATTCTGAGGCTCTGTCTAACATACTTTGGACATGTTGTGAGGAGAGACTGGTCCTTGGAGAAAGGAGGACATCATGCTTGGGAGGGTGGAGGGACAGCGCAGGAGAGGAAGGCCCTCTATGAGGTGGATTGATTCAGTGACTGGGATAATTGGGATGGGAGTGTCAGAGACAGTGTGATTGGCACAGGACAGAGCGGAGTTTAGGACTGTTGTACATACGGTCGCTATGAGTCGCAAGCAACGCGACGGCACATAACAACAACAACAACATACAATATGTATGAGGTACATTCTGAAAACGTGAAAAGTTAAATGTAACATAGTTCTTGATTATTTCCCAGAACACCTGCAGAGCGCTATTTTGTGTGGTGGTGTTGACAGTAGGGTGGTGGAGGTGGTGCCAGGGGAGGCCCATGAGGAAAAAAAAGTACTTTTTTTAACAATAAAGTAGAAACCTGTCAAAAAAAAAGAAAACAGCATTTGCTTTAAGTAATGCTTTCCCACATTTTAAAATTTAATTCTGCATTATTTATTTAAAGGACACTCATTTGAAAGTGTGTGACAGCAAAAGAATAATAGTAATGACACTGCATTTATGTCAAGAATGGAAATATTTGCCAAACTGTCAACACAGGAATTGGTGAAGAGGCCCAGTTTACTCTGAGCATACAGGACAACTATAATTATACTGCGTAACTTTCCACTGGCATTTCCCTGTCCTTGAATCCAACAAAAGGATGGGTCCTAAATGTTTTCCGGATACCTGACTGTTATTACTTCTTTTGGTAAAAGAAGGTAAGTGCTGATACAGATGCTGGAGGTCAGGAATACACCATCTTACCAATGTGGAAAAGAATTTATCTCAATGTGAAAACAACTTTGGCATCAACAGCTCTTCTGATACTAGTTATTTCCTATCAATTGTGATATGATGATACTCAAATTGTATTTCCCTTGTAGTTTTCACTGAGCTATGGGAAATGAATAAGGACTGGACAGCTGCTTTAGATCCTCCCCAGAAATCTGTGCACAGAAATGGAACACAAATGTCCAACAGCTCTGACTTTATGACTCTGAGTTTATCATTAAGCTATCACCAAACTAAGGGAAAAATGCAAGCGGAGTGCTCCTTAGAGGCAAGAATGGAGAAGCTTTGTGTCACCTACTTTGAGCCTGTTGTTAGGTATCATCAACTTGAGTTCAACTCCTATCAACTTTACAAACAAGTGATCTGAACACAGTCCTATCTCTTACTATCTGCACAATCTCTGACATACTGAAGTCCATTGCTGCAGTCAGTGAACAATGAGCGTGTTATTAAGAGGGGCTACTCCCTGGAAAGGTATCATGCTTGGAAAGTGGAGGGTAGGCAAAAGGAGTAAAATCCTTAACCGGATGGATGGATTGGGACAATGACTGCTGCAATGGGATGGAGTGTGCCAGACATGATGCAGATGGCACAGGATGATGCAGACGGTGGATCTGAACTGCTGACCTTTTTAGTCAGTAGTGTTACACAGAAGGCACAATCCAACCAGAGCTCCTAATAAACAATAAGTAATGCAGTCATATTCTAAAAATTTTTGTGACATTAAAAGTAGTAAATGTTCTATTAAAATGGGCAGTGTAAAAACATGATATGAAAATATTCTGACTGTCTAGGGTGAGTTAGTACTTCAGAGTAGTGAGAGAAGATCTTCACCCTGAAACCCACAGCGTCCCTTTTCAGCAGGAAATAGCTAAGAGAATACGCCATCCCCTTTTCCTTATGAATCAGGGTGACGTCTCTCTCAGGGAGGAGTGATAGGGAATAGCAAAGGACACACCGAC